TTTTGGTGATTTCAAATGTCAACATTGGCTACCAGAAATCACTTACCCCACCTTTAACATTCCTATAACGTTTTTGTGGAATTTCGAACATTCACAGAACATTCAGAATTAAAGTTTTTCTAACTTAATGAGAACGTTAACAAAACGTCCTTAGGACATAATTTTGCATGGGTTTCAGGATATACAGGGGTCATTCGACAGAAAAAAGGTGTTCCTCAGCAAAAAAACAACTCATTGAGAATTCATCCTGACTGTGACGTTCCAGAGAAAAGCAAACGCAAAATAATAAGTGAAAAACATGCAGCTTCAACCCTTTCTGAGTACACTTGAGTACATGACACGCACACTATACCCTCTAGTGTCTGTCAGGAGAAACACACGTGTGTTGTACACTATGTGTTATATATGCATTATAACTGTTGGGGTCCTTTTCTGAGACCTAACTTGCTTGCAATTTAACCCTGTAAAGCCTTAATAATAATAATTTTTATTTTATTTTTTAAATGGAAGAGTTTATTGAAACTTTAGACAAAAAAAAAAAAAAAAGTCTGCATTTGTGTTTTATGTCTGTATCATATTTGTTACATCGGGCTTTCATGGCTCATGTAGTCTGATATAGTGAGAATATGGAAGAAAAAAGAGACTCAAACTGAGAAAAAATATTAAATTTGGTGCAGATGCTGATATTCATATGCACAAAAAGTGATGAAATTCTGATGCTTGTAATGTAAATCAATGAGATCTTTATAACAGTATAGCAGATACTTACATAAAATGCTATAAATATCAGTCGTCACTCTATATCTCCAATAATATGTCTAAGTAAGATGAGATTTAAATGATCCAAACATATAATGCAATGCAATCCAATGATGATCGAGAGATGAACGAATAAACGTTCCTCAAAAGCCTGAAGATCATATTTGAGACTCACATTTGAACAGGATCTTATGGAGAATCAAGTAAAGCTGAGCTGCTTCAGTTCAGTAAGTGTTCATCTGGAAATATTACTAAAGTTATTCATATGTTTACTTGATAAAAATCTGTCAAGATTTGACAGCAGAAAGACACGTGAAGCACGAGCTGAAGGTGTACGTTTGTACAGTTACACTAACAGACCTTTGACTGGATAAAACACTCTAAACGATCGATCAGAAGGCATGGAGGAGATTGTGTGTGAAACCGGTTTAACAGTGAAGTTTTCATCATGTTGATCATTAGAGGCCTTGTTTGATACAGTCGGTTTTATAGGGTTAATCTAACTGCTGTCAAGGAGAAACAATCTCATTTGTGATTTTTCTTGCAGTTTTACAGTTTGTCTGTTACAGACACACACTTCAATTATTTCTTTTGTTAAGAGAGAAACTCTTTGGTCATTGTTTTGCATTGAGTCATGTGACGGAATCTAAATCCAGCCTTCATTTGCATGTTACCATGGGAAGTGATGTGACTCACGCACCTCGACGACAGTCTCTCACAATCATCCCAGAATCGTCCTCAAAACCTCAGATGTCTTCACACTCAACGCTCTTATGAAGTGGCTCAAATGATGCACGATGCTTGAGTCTTCAGGAACATACAAAAGGCATCACTTTGGATAAAAGCGTCTGCCAAACACATACAGTGAATGCAAGCATTTTGCCAAGCTGCTTAAAAATATGAATGTTTCCAGCATAAACTCTGCCATTTTCTTCGGATTAGTTCATGCATTGCAGCTTTCTAGCTCTAGGAAAATGTTGAAAACCAAACTCCAAAAACCCAAATCACTAACCATATTAGTATATGATATATGTGTCGTCTTCACACTGCTGGGAAGCTTATTCAGCAGTTACACCTCACTTCCTGTCTGTACAGGAAACAGTGGGGTCATGGAAGGTCGGCTCACATATTTCCTCCAGGCCTCTGATTCCTCCAAAGCTTGGCTCCCTCTCTGAGCTTCCTGATGTTCCCCATTATCTTGTAGTTTGCTCATGTGATGTGAGTCCATAGATTCTCCCAGGAAGCCTTTCAGAGACTCTTCATATGGAAAACAGCAGCGCTAAACAGAGAGGAAGAGGAATTCATGACCACAGACAAAAGTGCCTTTCTGTTGCGTGCAAAACAAATAAATAAATACAAATAAAATACAATAAAATGAATAAACAACAAACAAATAAAAAAGCAATTATTATGAATAAATAAATTAATTCAAAAATAAAAATATAAAATAAAATAAAATAAAAAAATACATAAAAATAAATACATTAATTAATTAAAAATAAAAATACATAAATAAAAATACAATTAATTAAAAATAAAAGAAATAAAATTAAAAAAATTCATAAATAAAAAATAATTAATTACTGAAATATATAAATAAATAAACATTATAAAGTGTTTCTTTATTTGTCTACTAATAATATAATTTCAACCATATCTCAAATTACAAATTGTGATTAATAGCATTCTTTGATAGAAATTACATTTTAACATTTCTATATGTTTTTTCTGTATATTTTTCCTTTTATACTAAGGCTGATTATCACCCAATTAAATCATATTTTCAAACTTCTTGCGTAATCTGACAAAACTGTTTAGCTGGAATTGACACACAATAAAAATGCTCTTCTCAAATAATATTTACCTTGATATTCATTCCCATATTTCATCCCAAGCTTTTTACTGACACTTTTGTAACCTTATGAGAAAATTTTTAAATGTTTAAAAACCTTTATTAAATTGTTGTTGGAAATGAGGGATGGTTGTAATCTCTGCAAAACGGAATAAAACTGCAATGTGAATGTTTATTGTAATAATAATAAATATTTAAATATTTTTATTGTAAAATTGTGATGTATTTTCATATTTTAAGACTAAACGTCTAATAAAAACAATAAATGATGAAAGCACAAAAGTTAACATGACCATTAAACTACAGAAATAGTTAGCTTGAAAAACAAAAACAACCCCTGGGACATGACAGTGGGTGTAGCTGAAGAAACCCCAGATATCTTGTGATAAAGAGAGTGTAAACACACACACAGCTGCGGTAATATCCAGCAGGGCAGCGGTGTTTCTAGCGCCCTCTGGCGGCCGCGGCGCTCCAGAGCTGAGCAGCGGGACTCCTCCCCTAATGCAGACCGAGCAGATCGCTCTTCCTGCGGTGTGACAGCAGCAGCTGCAGCAGCATCGGCGGCGGCACTGGCGCATTGTGTGTCTTTAATAGTAATTTGATTCTTTTCTTCTCACACTGAGTTATTAATACATCATCATCTGATTTCCCTCCTTCTGGACGGACTGCAGGACGGAGCGGCTTCTCTACAATGGCCAACAGAGATGATGAATACGATTTCTTGTTCAAAGGTAAATTCTGCATTCCCTCACACAGAGCAGAGGAGTAATCATTCATAACCCATCCATTGTTCCAGATCTGACAAGCAATCTTAGAGCCTGTTGTATCAGGAAGCGTCTTTCGCAGCGGCACCCGTCTGAAAGCATGGCATAAATAACAGGCTTTGAGACAGAAACTCCCGCAGAGGCATCGACACACATCCATCGATCAGTGAAACATCTGTTTGCGATGGCCTGAATGCTTGCACACGGGATATACCAGGGCTTGGATGATGGGGGTTTAGCATGCATTAAATATATGAGCCTGAAATGAGATGCAGCCCTCCATTGAGTTCATGTTCTCATTTAAGATAAAAACAAAAAACGGTCACTTGTTCATTTTGCACTGCGATCTAATGCTTTCTAGTGATTATAACAGCTAAAACGTTCACTAACGTGTGTAAATGTCATGTAAATGTTGGAACAAATAGGCCTATTCTTAAAATTCTGTCTATGGAACGTCCTTATGACATTATTAATATTTGATACGTTCTCGTAATGTTGTGAGGAAACGTTCTTAGAACATTGTTTTCAGAACGTCCGTATGATGTTACTAGTATGTTCTCAGGACTATGTTCAGGAACGTTTTTCAGTAATAACAATAGAACGTTTCAAGGTGACAGAATGGAATGTTTCTCTAACGTTCGTATAACCAAGAAGAAACGTTCTTAACACATTAAAAAGAAACTGGACGTTTTGATCATTTAAAAATAACATTTTCCTAAGGGTTTCAAAATGAAATGTTCCTCTAACGTTCACATAACCAAAAAAACAAAACAAAAACAACATTGTTTAAGTATAAAAAATTTATGTTTTAAACGTAGAAAGAACATTCAAATGCAAAGCTCTCATAATTTTTTTCAAGATAATAGATGGAATGTTCCTCTAACATTCACATAACCAAGAAAAACGTTCTTTTAATATAAAAATGGGTGTTTTAAACGTTGAGAGAACATTCAAATGTAACATTCTCATGATATTTTCAAAATAATAGAATTAAATGTTCCTCTAACGTTCACATATAATCAGTGTTGGGGAAAGTTACTTTTAAAAGTAATGCGTTACAATATTGCGTTACTCCATAAAAAAGTAACTAATTACGGTACTTAGTTACTTTTTATGGAAAGTAATGCATTACGTTACTTTTGCGTTACTTTTTAAATCTGGACAGGGCTTGCTTGTTTGTTTTTAAAATAAAAAAGTTATATTTTTGGCAAATATAAAAGCCTTTTCACACCAAAAGTGAAATGAATAAGCATCAGGTTGAAGGGAAAGTAAATTTACATCCATACAGTAGAATGCAGAAGAAGAAATTTCAACACACTTCAGCAATAAAAAAAGACACAAATGTTTGTCTAGAGTAATTTGTGATTATTAGTACGGTTGAACTGGATCATCGAAGGTCAGAAGCAAAGACATTGGTTAATAGAATGGGATTAAATACATAAAGCATATTTGTGTTGTTTAACATTTAATTATTGCAGGTTTGCGTCATATTCCGAGTTGCATTATTTTTATTCATTTTGAGGAATACTGAATCTGTGTGTTTTTTGTTTTTTGTGAGTGAGATGAATTAATGCATATTCATATTTATTTTATAACTACAGTAACATCTTCTGATTTCTCTCAACATGGGGACAGGAGAGCTGTCAATCAATAAAAAAATTTAAAAAAGTAACTTGCATTACTTATTTGAAA